TAAATTTCTTTTCTAGATTTTCAGCTCCTTGCGTATTGGACGCTCCTATTACTTGTATCTCTCAAATCAGTGAAATTATGTGAATAATGAATAATATCACTCCTTAGAGGTGTTTTGGGAATTTGTGGGTACATTTTTGCTTATCACAATGATTAGAGGGCACTAGTGGAATTAGTGAAGAGAGGCTAAGAATGAAAGACTTGTAATGGTCAGGATAGTCTCTCAAGATAAATTGTTGTCTTGAGTCCCAGTAACTTTCAGATATTCTACCAGATGTTTCATGTAAATGAAAAACTTCCAATTCTCTGAATCTGGAGCCTAAATCCATTTTTATATATAAATGCTAGGTATTTCTTATGAAATATATATGTATATTCTTATGAAAGATATATACTGAGTTTTCCTATATTTATCACCTTTGTAAATCAAGGAAAAATTGTACTTTGTTTTGTCCAGAATTTTACTAAGTCTTGCTCAACATTACAGAAAGTAATGTCACCAAAGGCAGTACCACTCATGGTGTTTGAGTCACCGTTAATACAAATATGTCAATCTGTTTTTGTAGCTATTGAATTTTTTTTAAAAGATTTTATTTATTTATTTGATAGACAGGAATCACAAGTAGGCAGGGAAGCAGGCAGAGAGAGAGGAGGAAGCAGGGTCCCCGCCGAGCAGAGAGCCCAACGCGGGGCTCGATCCCAGGAACCCGGGATCATGACCCGAGCCGAAGGCAGAGGCCCCAACCCACTGAGCCACCCAGTCGCCCCTGTAGCTATTGAATTTTTAAAACGATTCTGGATGTAGATGTAGGCATCGAATTAATTCACTGTTTTGTCATACTCAGATATTTACATTTGGAAATACATGTTATTTCTTTTTAAAATATAAATGACCTTCCTTTCATTTCTGCCATATATTACAGTAAAGCAATATATTAATGCTTTAAATTTGTACACATAAATATGCTACTTTATCTATAAATTTCTTTTTTAAATTTTTATTTAAATTTCAGAATTTAGAAGAGGGCACTGCAAAATATTTATTATAGAAAGCAATGTTATGGGGCATCTGGATAGCTCAGATGGTTAAGTGTCATGATCCCAGGGTCCTGAAATCAGGTCATGATCCCAGGGACCTGGAATCAAGCCCTGATTTGGCTCTCTGTTTCTCTCTTTCCCTCTGTCTCCTCAGGCCTGTGCTCGCGCTCTCTCTCTCTCTCTCTCTTGCTCACCCTCTTTCTCAAATAAATAAAAATCTTTTTTTAAAAAAAGCAGCATTGTGTCATGTTATACATTCACTGATTTATGACCATTAGAGCTTGGCAAAGTAAATTTACTTTAAAAATATACATTTAATCTTTATTGAACATTAAGCTATTCTCTCTCTCTCTCTCTCTTTTTTTCAAGATTTTATATATTTGAGAGAGAGAGAGCATGAGCAGGAAGGATGGGCAGAGGGAGAGGGAGGGCAGAGCCCAGTGACATTGGGCTCCTTTCCAGGACCCCAGGGTCATGACCTGAGCCATCCAAAGGGAGACTCTTAACCAAATGAGCCACCCACGCACCCCTAAACTGTTCTCTTTAGAGAAAATGTGTATCATGAAATATTCTGACAATTAGAATAGTGATTAAGTTAGGTAAAAACACCAAAAATTTGTTACAAACTAGAAAAAAGTATATGCAGACTTTATTCAATTTATAGAGAGACAAAGTGCTATTTATAATTTTAAAATTTTCTAATAAAATGCCATAGACTTGGGTTAATGACTAACATTCTTTACTTACTTTCTTTATTATAATTAATATGTCCAGAACTTTAATTTTTAAAATTTGACTCTTGTTTCATGCAGAGGACAAAAGATTTTTTTTACATGTGGTTGTTTTTTTTTAAGATTTTATTTATTTATTTGACAGAGAGAGATCACAAGCAGGCAGAGAGGCAGGCAGAGAGAGAGGAGGAAGCAGGCTCCCTGCTGAGCAGAGAGCCCAATTCGGGGCTCGATCCCAGGACCCTGAGATCATGACCTGAGCCGAAGGCAGCGGCTTAACCCACTGAGCCACCCAGGCGCCCTACATGTGTTTTTAATTATTTTAATTTATAGTCTTTAAATTAGTTCTTCAGGATCAGCGAATTTTTTTTAATAGTTTATTTATTTATTTGACAGAGATCACAAGTAGGCAGAGAGGCAGGCAGAGAGAGATAGGGGAAAGCAGGCTCCCCGCTGAGCAGAGAGCCTGATGTGGGGCTTGATCCCACTAGGACCCTGGGATCATGACCTGAGCCGAAGGCAGAGGCTTTAACCCGGCTTTAACTGAACCACCCAGGCGCCCCAGCAGTGAATTGTTTTGATTTAGATATTCTAAGTGTACTTTTCATCTTTGAGCATATGATAAGATATATTTTATAAACTAAAGTGCAGAACCAGATGGTTTTATTCTGGTATGATACGTGTTAATTTGTATGCCTTGTTTTCAACAACTGTGGGATTGTGTTGTATCTCATCATTGCCTTTTTTAGACTATTTTATAGACAGAACTAGAAATTCTGGTTATATAAAGCTATTCTAGCACAGGCTAGAAAGTAGGTCATTGTGACGGGGAGTATACCAAACCGCCCACTGGTTGCTATAGCAATGACCTACTTTAAGAAACTATTTCTGTTGATTCATGTTGAAATCATCTGTTGGAAATGGTATAAGGAAACTCAATGCATGTAATTTTTTTCTAATAACAATAAGTTAGTTATCTCTGGAGGTTTTTTTTTTTTAAGTCTTTAATATGTTTAAAGTGAAGAAGTATATTTTCTTACTTAGTACCCTTTCTATTTATTCTGAAGTGATGCAATTAGCAATTCAATTAAATAACAGGAGAACTGTGCTTCTACACAGGTAATACAATTATGCAAAGAGTTGTGGTGAGTTTTATTACTGTGTGGCCTTTAAAAAGTAACCTGTTGCATGTAGTTAATAGTATTATTAACTGAGATTCCAAATGGGTATAGTAATATGCCATATTAAGAGAAGATCTGAAAATATGTTCTTGCTAAAAATGTACTCTCCGGGGGTGCTTGGGTGGATTATCCTTCCAGGACATTTTAGTTTTATACTGTTTAAATTTAAGAAAACTTTGAGTTGCTAGTTCATTTAACCTCTTAATTTTTTATCTGACTACTACAGTGTCTAAAAACTCTTGCCAAGCAAATACATAAAACTAGATGTTTCCTAATAAACATTTATCACCATCAATATGATAAATTATTCATAGTTATGGATAATTTTGTAAAATTCAAGTACTTTTGTATTGGTATAATAACATCAACAATCCCCCCTCACCCCCCCTGCCCAAAGTATTTGCATGTTTGTAGTGATAGGTTGGGGTAGGGGTCAGTGTTAGGGTGGTGGCTCCAAACCCAAGCAGAATAGTAATGAGGTGAAATATAAATGTGAAAATAGAAAGGTTTGTTTTCCTATTTGTTTAAAGACAGTTGTGCACCTTCCTAAAGGTGATACAATGGGGAATGCCTGGGTGCTTCCTTTGGTTAAGTGTCTTGTCTTCGGTTCAGGTCATGATCCCAGGGTCTTGGGATTGAGTTCTGCATTGGGCTCCTTGCTCACTGCCTGCTTCTCCCTTTGCCTGCTGCTTGTGCTCTCACTCGCTGTCTATCTGGCAAATAAAGAAATAGAATCTTTAAAAAAATAAATAAATAAAGGTGATATAGTGGGAGTCCTCCTGAGTCCCCACACCCATAGAGATTCTTTCTAAATGGAAAGAATATCAAACTTGACTAGGTATACTAATGTCAGTAATAACTACAACTTTAAAGATTAACAAAACTTTCTTGATGAAATGATGGGATCAGAATAAGAAAATGATCTGAACTGAATAGCCTCCTAGAATAATGGTGTCTGGTAGAACTTTCTGCAGCAATAGAGATGTGCACCTATGCTGTCCAGTATGGTAACTAATAGGCACACATGTGGCTGTTGAGAGGCCTTGAAATACAGCAAGTTGACTGAGAAACTGAATTGTTAATTTTGGCTATATGTGCATAGTGGCTACCATATTGGACAGTGCATTTCTGACTCCTCACAAGGAAACACAATCCCTATTCTCAGAGAACTCATGACTTGTGGAAAAGGCAGACAAATATTTAACCTTAAGATCAGATACATAAAAGAAGCAGAGTAAAGAGGAAATAAGATCTGTGCAGCTGAAGGGAAGGGAATCTAGATGAAATGTTAGAGAAATTAGCATGAGGCAGATAGTGAGGTTGGATTTTCTAGGGATGACCTCTCTTTTAGAAATGCTCTTGGAGACTGCCCCATTTCTTCACAATAAAAGATGCTCAGTGAGCAGTCTTCTGGTTTTTCAGAATTTCCCAACAGAACTATCATGGGTAAGCCTTCTTAGTACTTATTTCATTGAGAAAAGTCCACCTGTCTCATGAAATATTTTTTTAATTAACCTGACATTCTCTGCACTCAGAGTTACACCACATAATTTCATGTCTATTTATTATCAGTTTCCTTAATTAGATAAGAAACTTGAAAATAGACATGTTTTCTCTCTCATAGATGATTATAGTATCCTTCAGTACTCAAATTCTTAAATTATTCACTTGCTCAGAGTGATTAAATAGGATATTTCCATTTTTTTATTAGAAAAATGTTCTAGATTTTTCAAGGAGGTTTTTCTGTTTGAACTTGAGTTCATTTCATCAATGAAATCAATTCATTTAATTTATATAATTTTGATGCTTACAAATTAAACATTGGTATTCACTATTAATTAATGGAAGTTAGTGATTTAATTTAGAAATTTCATTAAAATACTGAGAAACTTGTTTGTAATTAAAAAATGGTAAGTATGACCAGTTAGAAATAAGATAATAGGTAATAAAATTATGGGACTGGCATGTCAATTTTTACAATGACATGATTTTGTAATACTTTGTATCTTCTAAATACACATGTTTAAAAATTTTAATATTTTTCTCTGTAGATTTTTGCTTCAGTGTCTTGAAGACCTTGATGCCAATCTGCGAAAATTAAATTCTCGTTTGTTTGTGATTCGTGGACAGCCAGCAGATGTGTTTCCCAGACTTTTTAAGGTAATCTGAAGAATCTTTGCTTAAAATAATAATCTTTTTTTCAGAGAAGACACATATTTGCTGAGTAAGGTATTTAAGGTAATTTAAAGTATGTGAAATACAAATATTTTTAAATAAAAATTTTGTTTTTTTAATTTAATAAAAGTTCTACATGGTAGAATCAAGACTGCCAAAAAAGTAGTTTGCAATGAAAACTTAAATCTTTCTTCTGCCTTAAATTGCTAGTTTCCCCCCCAGAAGCAACAACTACTACCTGTTTCTTGTATATGCATTACAAATATTTTTTGCATTAGTAAGAATATATATGTGCATGTATCTATATGTATGTATTTAACACATTATATATAATATAGTATATATATAATACCTGTAGATCCATCTATATATATAAATTTGCATTTTTGTGTATGTTACCATCCCCCCTTTTAATAATAAAGGTAAGTGCACTATATTCTACACTATCTCTGTCGTGCTTTAGTCACATGGCCATGTATTTTAGAGGTTGTTTCCTACTGCTCCCTCAGTCTTTTAAATGGCTTTGTAGTATTCCATTGTGTTGGTATGCTATGATTTCTTTAACAAGCTTTCTACTGAACATTTGGTCATTTTCCACAGGCCTTTGCTAATACAGATAATGCTGTCAGTGAATATCTCTGTCCAAATACAAATATCTTTGCTCGGATGTGCTAGTACATTTTTTTAAAATAAATCTTTTTTTTTTTTAAGATTTTATTTATTTATTTGACAGAGAGAGATCACAAGCAGGCAGAGAGGCAGGCAGAGAGAGAGGAGGAAGCAGGCTCCCCGCAGAGCAGAGAGCCCGATGCGGGGCTCGATCCCAGGACCCTGGGATCATGACCTGAGCCAAAGGCAGAGGCTTTAACCCGCTGAGCCACCCAGGTGTCCCGTGCTAGTCATTTTTGGGATAACTCTTAGAAGAGGACTTTTTGGATCCAAGGGCTATAATGAACAACAAGCTACTAATAATACAAAACTGTAGTTTTGTGGGTTGTTGTTTTTTTTTAACTTGGTAGAATCTTAAATCTCCTAATCTTATGTCTCCCTTCTTTTTTTCCCAGTTGAAAAAAATTAGTCCTGGAGAGGTTAAAGGAGTTGACTAAGGTCATATAGCTAGCACATGGAAGTGCTCACACCAGAAGCTGATTCCTTGTTTTGTCTTTTTTATCCATCCCTTTCTCTTTCCTACTGTTAGAATTCCTAATGTATATCTGCTTTTTTTTTTTTTTTGCAGCTATTTGATTCATCAAATTTTTTTTTGATAGTAATATTCCTATTTCTAATGCAGAAATAGTTCCTTTCCTTGAATAAAAATGTTCCCAGTGCTGGGAGTCAAATAACACTACCTCATCTTTTTCACTGGTATTAATGTTCAGGATTTCGCTAATGCAACAGTTTTGGCTAGTGAAGATTTACTTTATTAAAGTATGTTTTACTACTATGGCTACTTAGAGTCAGAATTTAACTTTAGGTGCATGTAAGAATTCTGAGTAGAAAGCACATCAGAAACAGTAGTGTAATAGTTTATCAATAACTTATGAGTGTAAAAGTGTATGTATCTCTGAGTCCATGTGGTATTAGTAAAATGAAGCCTAAGAGGACTTTAGTTGCTTTAAAATAACAAAACTTAAACAACAACTGTTTTAAGAATATGGAGAAAAAGGAACCCTCTTACACTGTTGTTGGGAATGCAAACTGGTGCAGCCAGCTATGGTAAACTATATGGAAATTCCTCAAAAGTAAAACTAGAACTATCCTATAATCCATTAATTGCACTACTGGGTATTTACACAAAAAATATAAAAACACTAATTTAAAGGCATATATGCACCCCTACATATATAGCAGCATTTTTTACAATAGCCAAAGTATGGAAGAGCCTAAGTGTCCATTGATAGATGAATGGTTGAAGAAGTTGTGGTGTCTATATACAGTGGAATATTATTCAGTCATAAAAAAGAATGAAATTTTGCCATTTCCAACAACAGGGATGGAGCTTTGCTAATAAGCAAAGCAAATGAAAGAGAGACAAACACCAAATGATGTCATTCATATGTGGAATTTAAGAAACAAAATAAATGAGCAAAGGAAAAAAGAGAAAGAGAGGGATCAAAAACAGACTCTTAACTATAGAGAACAAACTTATGGTTACCAAAGGAGGGCTGGGGTAAGGGCATGGGTGAAATAAGTGATGGGGATTAAGGAGTGCCCTTGTGATGAGCACTGTTGATGTTTAGAATTGTTGAATCACTATATTGTACTCCTGAAACTAATGTAACAGTGTATGTTAACTGTAATGGAATTACGACAAAAAAATACAGTCATAAAACTTGTATTTACTTGTTTTAAAAAAAAATTGTTTTAAGTCAGCAAATCTTTTATGTTGTTTTGAGCTTTCTTTTACCTAAATTAACATTATTGGATTAAACTACCTTCTGCATTTAGGTGCTGTCCCAGTCTTTGTCAGTTGGGCAGAGAAGCAGTGATTTCCACCTGGGACATAAAATACAGATGCATGTAACACATAAAGCACATCAAGTGCTTACCATTTTATTCTGATTTTTCCTTGGGCTATGTACTGTGTAAAATACCACTTATGAAAACTTCCTTTCAGATTCTATACTATGTCTAGAGCCACGGAGGGAATTAATTCCTTTTTTTATTACATTGGTGTTTTTATTGGTACTTTTTGTCAAGAGGTGCTATATGCATGTGTTTAAAAAAAAGCCTAAAAGGATATACAATAAAAAGCATGTCTCCTTCCCACCCCTTCAGCCTCACACCCCTTTTCCTCTAAGGGAAAAGATTCTTTTGTCGGTAACCGGCTGACTGATTTACATTACTGTCTCTGGTTTTCTTATTCTAGTACAGAAAATAGAATTTTTAATACGTGAGTAATCCTGTATTACTTGGGAGGTGAAACTGTTTTAAACCTGATAAGAGTGCTTTCGTTGATTGGGGTGGTGAGAGTGGGTCCAGTACTGATGGTCTAGTATATATCTCCTCCTCTTCATAGGATTTCCTTATTCTATTTATATTGAGTAGATTTAGAGATGGGGTCAGAGCATTTTTACTTTTTTTGTAAGCACATATTTACATATATGTCTGATAAAGTGTTGTTTCTTCTGATGTGTTTTCTTTTTTCTTAAAGATTTTATTTATTTATTTATCAGAGAGAAAGAGAAAGAGCGCACAAGCAGGCAGAGAGGCAGGCAGAGACAGAGAGAGAGGCAGGCAGAGACAGAGAGAGAAGCAGGCTCTCCACTGAGCAAGGAGCCCGATGCGGGACTCAATCCCACGACCGCGGGATCATGACCTGAGCCGAAGGCAGCAGCTTAACCAACCGAGCCACCCAGGCGCCCTGATGTGTTTTCTGCTTAGAATTTTTCCCAGTTAAATTCTGAACTTAATATAAGACTTTTTTTTTTAAACTTTTTATGTTCTGAAGAAATGATAAAGAAACTTAGCAGACACTAATGTATGCAAAACTTGGATACACTATTAATCCTATGAATCTTACATAAATTATTATTATTATGCAGTTAAATCTTGCAGCTTCTACATATGGTAAGCTACCAAGACCATGTACATTCTAGGCCCAGCAGAACCTTTTAATGAAGAGATTAAACATTAAAACTTTCTCATTATATCCAAGAAACAGGGACTAAAGTCTTTATAGATGGACTCAGTGAAGTGTAACAAAATGCTGTGTTCAAGATCATAGAATAAATCAAAGAACATCTAAAGCCACTAATACTTTACATGCATAAAATTTGTATTATGCTTTTTGAGTTATTTTGGATTCTTGCCTTATTATTTTATAGCACATGCTCATTTGAATAAGAGAATTCATTCAGCAGATATTGATTGAGTGCCTACTATGTACAAGGTAGAGTTCAAGGTGGTGCAGGTATACTAGTGAACCAAATAGAAGACATTCCTACCTTGGCAGAGCTTATATGATAGTGGGAAGGAGGCAGATAATAAGTAAATATGCAATGTCATGCAGTGGTAGGTGCTAAAATGAAGTGTGAGATATTAAATTCCAAGGGGAGGTAAGGGTAATGACTTTATATGGAATCATGGAAGGCATCACTTCTAAGATGACATATGAGCAAACATGTGAAGGACTGAGCCATGCAAGTATCTGGGGTGTGATACTGTGAATTCACAACATTTTGCACCTTGTTCCATCAAAAGGTTGAGTTTAAATCTGGGGTGGTCGTATAACTCGTTTTGACCAACTGACAAGAAAGTCATTGAGTCCCAGATCCTAAGGTTCAAGCAACTTTGAAGCTTCTGCCTTTGCCCTTTGGAATGCTTCTTGTGTCATGCAGGGAATGTGGGCTACAATATCAGATTATGGGAAACCATGTAGAGATAGAAGGCCACTCAGTAGCCAGTACCAAGAGCTGAGATGTGGGAGAGCGATTCTCTCAGATCCTCTAGGTCTGGCCAAGCTGTCAACTGATTGCAAACTCATGAGTAAGCCCAGGTAAGACCAACAGAACCACCCATCTAGTTAATTGACAGACTTCTGAGAATCTATCATTTTGAACTGCTAAGATCACTGCAACATGGGGAAGAATGTTCCAGGGAACAGTAGTTATAAAGGCCTTCATGTGGAAGTGTGCCATGGCTTGTTTAGGAATAGCAAGAAGACCAGCATGGCTAGAAGCAGTGAGTGAAGAGGAGAGAAGGGTCAGAGAGGTTGTGAGGGGCTGAATCACAGAACTTTATTTATAGACTATATTTAGGAGTTTGGTTGTTACTCTGAGTGAAATGGGTAGGATCCGTGGAGATTTTTGAGTACATGAATAATATGATTTCACTTACATCATCTTTTTTTTCTTTTTTATTTATTATTGAAATATAATTGACATACAATGTTATATTAGTTTCAGGTATAGAGCATATTGATTCAATAATTCTGTACATTACTCAGTGCTCACCATAAGTGTAGTCACCATCTGTCCCCATAC